GGTTCCCCATCCCTACCACTGTACTAGAATGCAGAGCGATTGGCTCTCGTTCACACCGAAAGTCCCGCAGGTTCGAGCTTTGGACGCGGACGTCGGGTATTAATTGTTTGAAAGGTGTTCTAGAGTGTGGAGGGGATCATGGGTAACAGGTCACAGCGGGCGCGCAGTTGGGGCCAATCGCTTTACGTTGAATTGGAAATCGGTGTCCGGTAGTTACTATCGCCGCTGTGGGGTCTACGAACATCGTTTTACGCACACAGAAGTACATTCCATGAATGGCGTTTCGTAAGCTACCGGTGGGACTTCATTTACCTTTGCGTAGTTGATAGAATTGTCATATAAGTGTACCTCACAAACCATCTACTAATCTTGGGATCGAAACAGTTGAAGTGGTTGGAGTAATGAGACTGTAGATGTGCTGTTACCGGTTGGAGTATTCCAAATGCCAAAATGCTGTCCTAAGTCCGCTACATTTGTGTGACTTGGGTTTCCTCTAGGGACGTGCGTTATCGTCCAGGACCGCTGTCCAAGGGATATTTGCATGAATGTTGTTATGCAAATATTTAATTTGAAAAACTTGTTCTGCAAATATGTTTCCACGTTGATGAACGCTCACATTACCGCAAACGGAATCTGACTGTCCCCGCTCCGCCTTGGGATTCGACAGAAGCACTGAAAACATGTTTAGGCAGATTGTATTGCAGGCAAAGACAAGGGAGACTGAAATGGCCATTTCTGGCTTATTAGCCGTCATCAACTAGTCATACCGAGACCCAAGTGGTGTCAAACCTGAGCCTCGAACTCGCGACCTTTTAATCAGAGTCGAACGCCCTAACCATTGCGTCACCAGCTTGTTGTCTTGCCAGTTTAAGTCAAAAAATATTTACACTCGTTGATGAACGTTCAACCGACCGTAAACGGGACAGACGAGTTCTGTTTGCGAGTTAGAAGCGCAGGTGTGACGCCACATGGATCTCGCTATGACTGGCCGACAAGCCAGAAATGGTCATTCCAGTCTCCGTTGTCTTTGTTGGCTTTACCATCTGCCTAAACGTGTTTTCAGCAGTCCACCATCAGGCTGGTACAATTGCAGTGATAATGAACATAAGAGAGTTTAACGGGGTTCACAAACTCTGCCATCAGCGTAATGGTATAAGTCCGATGATGAATTGCTGAAAGCATATGTTTGCCGAACTGACTTTTCAAGTTATGCATGGGGATATCCACGGAACTGAAACAGTCTAAAGATCCCTTAGCTTTCATAGTAACTCGATGGATTCCCGCAGTTTGACACCCGACTTGCTTAGGCAAATGTGACAGAAAATTCTCATAGGAATGCATGGATTGGGGTAAATATCCGAGACAGCACTGGAAAACCTTGCGCAGAAGCCAAATCGCTGTTTCCACAGCCATTCTAGGGCAACATGCAGAAATTTTCCTTGAGACGGTTAACGCCGAGATTCAGGAACTTCAGTGGAGCCTGTGTCAGAGAGCAACCGTCCTCGACTGTCTGTAAAAACCTAAGCAAACGATTGAACAGCTTCCTTCACAGTATCTCACGATACTGTAAATTCTCGTTCACAGTCAACAGGACAATTGGCCCATGATGCAATATTGAGGCGTTGGACTTGAAAACAACATTACTAAAGACTTTGAATGTGAATCACAGCCTATCTTTCAATTCTGGCGTTAAGTTTGACTGGATGATGAAAATGGCCGAAATGGGCATCGTAGTTTCCCGGGAGGGTAAATTAAGATGACCGCCGCTAAGGGTATTTTACGACGATGAAAGCCCGCTACACTCACAATTCAGTGTTGCCTGACTTTTTCTGGACTCTAGTAAGCGCATGGGAGAGGAGTCCTTAAAACACAACAGCAAGAATGGCTCAGAATCTTCAGCTGTCGCAAGCGACAAAACCGAATGAAAGGTACTGGGGGAGGCAGAGCAAGAATCCATATATTAAAAGTATGCAAAACAATACGAAAATCAGGGCAAGTGAAAAGATGCAAAGTTTGTTTTGGAAAGGTTGCAACAGACAGATTTTAGTTAGTCGTCCTAAAACTTGGCAGTAACGAGTAGCGGTTCCATGAAGATCACAGCTCTCTCGGGGGTAGGTCCATATCCTCCTCGTCCTCCTCCCGCTGGCTTAACGAACGTCCTCATGCAGTGTGTGCCAACGCATTATCTCCTGCCCACCGGCTGCCATCATGTCTCTCCAGTGGGCTTCCTCCTCGGTACCCGAGTTTGAACAACCTGAAGGTCAGTTAAAACAACAAGAACAGCAGCAATGTCAGTTTGAGACCGCTGAAGATTCGGATAGCAAACCAAGAAAGGAAGGGGCGAGGCAGGATGCTCTTACCGATTGAGAACCAGCCAATGTTTTCATCCTTGTGCACTGTGTGTTTGTGGAACACGCGGAAGAAGAGCACAACGTTGTTTATTTGAACGGCCGGCACCTCAAATGAAAACTTCTCGCCATACTCTGGATTGCTTGAGCTGTGCGCAGCTTTCGTCTTGGCAGCGGTAATTTTTTCTCCGGTCTTGGTCATCAAAGACACCGAAATATAGGTTCCTGAAGAAATAATCAGAACGTGAATCAGCAGAGTTACACGTACACACAGCCGCACAGAACACCACTACTAACTTGGGATTGGTGGACCACGTTCAACCTATCGAGTACTTTTTTTGTCCGACTTGAAGCCGTCGCAGTTAAAACAACAGAAAATACAATTTAATTCAGTCTCACCTCTGCCTAAAAATCGAAGCTTTGGCGTTAGGCATTACATATGCAAATAAGCGCCTAATTAAATCTTTTCAGTAGAAATAATAATGTAGATGTAACTTACTCGGAATTGCGACTGGAGCACCGGGAATCTTCAGTTTGCTGGCCTTCACTGCGGTGATGTTTAATCTTCCCGTCTGTTGAGTGTAACTCAAGCCGATGAGCAATTCCGGCCAGTTGGCATTTCTACCCTGCGCAACATCCTCTGCAACATTGCGCGGCGTTGGTGTAGCCCCGGCCCTTGAACCGCTACCGCTGCGTCTTGAATGCAGAGATAGCCTTGACCCCGTGCGATGTGAAACTCCGGTGAGACGGCTCATACTATCGCTGAGGTCACTGTCCTTTTATGTTAATTATAAAAAACAATAGTCTGTAAGAAAAGGTACCCAAAATTAAAAAAATCAGTGAATTAAGTAGATTTTTGAGCAATATTCTTTCCCTAGACTACTCGGAGGGATGAAGTCTTTATCTACCGCAGGTAGCATTGCTTTGATTGGCTGTGGAATTCAACATCATTATAGACGCAAAATAGTTTGACAGTATATATATATATTTTACTAAGGGAAATTGTGGATTAAGCCTATACTTAGATTGTTTAGGACTTAGTGACGTCATTAATAAAGGGTTTTCGAGGCAAGTTTCAGTATGAAAAAGTGTAATTATCGTTCAGGTAAATGCATGCATAGTGGACGATAATGATAAGTAAAACCCTTTTACTAAATGTGACCCGACTAAAGTTGAAAACTCTATATTACTGAAGGAAATATACTGGCAAATTGCCAAAGACACTTGATGATTTAAGTAGCAAGTTTTTCGTCAGACATTATAATAAGTCATTGTTACCTTCAGTTGCTTTTGCGGCCTTATCTTGTTGAAGTTTTTAGACTGGGCACTTATCGGCGAGGTACCATAGCATGATCCATCGTGGAAGTCCATAATTTAGACTAAGTGTTCCATGCTAAGGTCGACCTGTACATAAGTGCAAAAGCATCTTCTTGGCCACAAAAATTGCGAGACATTTACATGGGGAAAAGTTATTATAAGTCTCATTTTGGCGGTCTTGCTAGGCAGAAAATAAAGACAGCGACCTTTTCGTATTCTCGCCCGCCGCCTTATCATATTTTCTGATCCACCTTAAGCTCCT